TTTTTTTTTTTTTTTTTTTTTTTTTTTTTTTTTTTTTTTTTTTTTTTTTTTTTTTTTTTTTTTTTTTTTTTTTTTTTTTTTTTTGTGTGGATACAGCATTCAGAGATGGTTTTTCCCCTATGATTATCAGATAGTTCAAGAAATTCATAGGCATGAACCTGATGGTAGAAGTGCGGTAGGATTGTTGGAGATTCAGAACCATCTTACACCGGAAGAGGCAAGAAGCTATGCCATGTCTCAACTCCCGCGGGAGTTATCGAAGCACACTGGCTTTGCTTTCGATTCACCTGGCTATGAGTCATTTTTTGCTGCACAGCTTGGTATTTATGCCCCACAGAAGGCATGGGATGTTGCCAGGAGAGCCAGTGTGAAGTCAAGACTAAAGATTAGGGAAAAGAAATGAGGTAGAACTAATCATTATATTGTACAAAAGTTTTCTCATCAAAAGTGAACCTCAGAAAAATCATTAGTACTAGTTTTGCTGTGCCATATATTTTCTCCCATTAGTTGTCTTTTTAACTCATGAGAGCCTAGTGGTTATTAGGAATGTAATGGGTGTATATCGATATCTCAATGTAATTTAATACCAAGTGATTGTAATTTTTGACTAATTGGATATTGTAGCTATAGCCCCATTGGAACCTTATAGCAGTACTATTAAGGGAAAATTTTCAGAACATGTCTGTTTACTGCTTCATGGAGATGGCTGCTTAAGCCATGAAGCCTGTGTGCAAGTTGTAGACAACAACATAGAAAATGGCATCTTTGATGTGATGGTCTTTGCTACTCAACTCTGACCAAATTCTTAAATATCCAATTTCAAGAACTTGAAAGGTCTTCAAGCCTGCAAAACATCAGATTCAAATTCCCCAAAGATTTCGACCTCTGAAATGGGTCACAATTGTTGTGGATGCTTTAATCTTTTGAACTGCAACTTGTAGCATACGTTTGATCCATTTGTTGGGCTTGTTCATCAGCTTTTTTAGTGTAATTCTTGTAGTTTTAAAAATCCATTGCTTGAGTGGGAAACTTTCCATAGTCAAGAACTGATGTAGACGACAATTAAGAACTTAATTATGTGGTGCATCATTTATATGGCTCTCTATTTTTGAGACAACAAAAACTAAGAATCATTTTATCTATCATATCTTTCTTTTTTTTAAGAACAATCAAGTTAAATTCAAGAGTTATTAATTCTAGAAGAACCTTGCAAAACTACTTTCTTAGCCTTAACCACTATTTTACTATTTTATTCCAATATCAATAGACGACACATGGACAATTCAAAAACGAAGAAACTCATCAAAATTAAAAGAGAAAAAAAATGGATTTGGGCATTAGAATCGCTGCTTTGAGGATATGTAAACATTAAATGAAATATTGTTCCAGCAGTGATCATAATCATATCAAATTAGTGGGAACATATTACAAAAGTAGTCTTCTGGAATCCATGTGAAAGAGATTTCTAACACTGTGCAGCATTCCTTTTCATCTTCCATATTAAAACCTTTCATAACGCTAAAATCTTTCACCATCAAAAAGGACTCAAAGCTTTGAAACTTCTTATACTAATTGATGTCTTATCCATTCGAAGCTCAGACACTCGACGAGTAATTAACTTTAAACTCGGTTCAGGTGTTCTGACAACGTAATATGCAGTCTTGTATGAGTGACGGCTTGAAGGAGAAGGAAGATATGAAAGATGCTTTGAAAACCCAATTAAGAACATTAGATGTTAATGTAAGTGTGAAGTAATTGTGTAGTGCTCCAAATGGCTTCCAGCTCCTTCCTCAATTATTGTTTCTTTTTTGTACGATGCCTACTTCAGAACCCATCAGCTCACAATCTGATTCTATTCCTCAATTATATCGTTTTCTTATTAATTAATTAATTCCTCACCCATATTATAAATAAACTTTATTAATCATGTATTATAACTTTTTATTTATTTAATATCTAGATACGTATTGACATTCCTCTACCCTACTATACACATCACATTTTCTCTTCATTCTTTAATGCTCCTTTTGTTTTCCATCACAATTTTTTAATTAATTATTCGAGTTTGGTCGACCATTTGTCTCACCAACCTTATTTTGACCCTAATATTAAAACGAATTTAGAAATATGCTTTTTGAATACCTCGTATTCGAGATGTGTAATAGGTATATGTATCAAATATTCGTCTCTAATATATTCAATCTTGTTTTTGATAAAAAAAAAAAATTGGCAACAAAAAACTTAAGTGCCAATCGAGAAATAATTTAATTTTTTCCCAACGTGGATAAATTATATAGTTATAGTATAAAGTTAAGGTTAATGATATGATAGTCGAATATATATATATATATATATATATATATATATATATATATATATATATATGTATGGTTGTTTGGTTGGAGAATATATATTGTAATGTAAATAAGAGTTGGTGGTAAGGCATTTGATTCCTTTAAGACTGTGAGATCCCATAGGGAATGGATTAGAAACATTGTGCCATATGCTCTCTTTCTAATATATATAACCTGCCTGCCCCCTCCTTCCCCAATTATATATACAAACAAATATAAACAAAGATTTCCCGTCCCTAAAATAAATCCAAAACCCTAATTGCAAAAACGATGTCTAATGAAAGTTTCAAACTTTTAACTTCTTGATCGAAAATTTATGTTCAGAGTCGTATTTAAATGAATTGAGATGACTAAAAGTTATAACTTTGATAATAGACGTACAAAACTCATTTGAGATATTTTTGAACTTTTAAAACGTTTTATTAGACTCAGTAGTTTTTTTTTTAAAAAATGATATTTTTATGTTTCTTCACACACAAGCATTGTAGTTAATGTAATAGGAATATTAGATGTAAATTAAAATGATATGTTAGAATATAATGGTGAGTGTGTGTGTGTCAATAATAAACAAACAGGCAAGGCAGGGTTTGAGAAAAGTGCAACTGAATCCACCAACCCTATAAAGAAAAAAAAAGACAACTCCCTAATTAAACATGCACACCCCTTTTCTAAACAAACTCCTCTCCTTCTTCCTCTTCCTCTCTTCTTCTTCTCATTGTCTGACCCTACTTAAGATAACATACTTCGATCCATCGTCGTTGTCGTCTTTACCTCTCGGGTTGTAAAAACTAATCTCTCTCGACGTGCACCGATAGAAGTATACATATATTTATGAGAAGTGAAGGTAGTTGTTGCTCGTTTTCTTACTTCAAGGTCTTGCTTGGAGCTGTGGCTGTTGGGATGTTTGTATGGCTTTTAATCGTTGGCATGCCCAACAGCGGCGAACAGTTGGTAGCAAAAACAACAAGCTCGCAGGCAGCTAGGTCTGAGTTTGTGGGAAGCCATATGAAGCCAGCTAAGGAGCTTAACTTCATGAGCAAAGTTAAGGTCCCTAAAGGACCGGACCCAATTCATAACAGGTGATTTATTTTTCGAAGATCAACTTTAGCAATGACAATGATATTGGGTTGTGTTCAAAGAGATCGAACGAAACATTATTTATAATGACATAAAAACTTTATACTAGTCTTTAAATTCATGAACATAAAAGAACGATAGAATTATGAATACAAATTAAATTTACGGAACTATTCACGAAAGTTGAATATATATTGATTTTAAGCGAGTTAATATTTGTTGGGTTTGGTTTGCAGGCGAACTGGAGTAAAAGGACGGCCTCCCGCCTTAACTTAGGCTTAGGCTTCCTCCAGTTTGAGAGGAACTCATGCCTCTTGGTTCTTCTCAACGTTACCCTTTACTGTTAATCAACTTCAAACAACATGCCTCTTATTTGTATTCTAATTTCAATAATCCAAAATAAAAAACGTCTGGATTGTACATATCTCCCTCTCTCTATGTGTATATATATGGGCTTGGGCTATTTTTTTTTTTTTTTTTTTTCACAGATGGGCAATTTTGGATAGCTTTTAGAAAAGGGAAAAAGGAAAGGATATAGTTCTTCAAATGAACCTAATTCTTTGTATAATTTGAATGCTTGAATTGGTGGATAATACATATACTTGACAAGAATAATTGTGGCAAAAGATGAGTGATGTACTAGAACCTGGAATTTGACTGCACCCTGCCAGATGCAAAACCAGCCGTTGAAACACTTCGCTTCCTTCTGAAGTATACAACTGAACCGCTTATAAGCAGCATGCCTACCACAATGCCCTGTCCACAACAGTACACAAAATGAAATGAATCCAATCAACATAAAAGTAGCATGCTGTATTAAACAATCAGTTGGAAAGCATCTATCTTTCTCTCCAAAGGATTATAGTTTTCACCTATTCGGTACGGTTCGAATGTAACAGCCTAAGCACACTGATAGTAGACCTTTCCAAGCTTCCCCTCAAGATTTTAAAACGCGTCTGTTAAAGAGAGGTTTTCACACCCTTATAAGGAAGGTTTTGTTCCCTTCTCCAATCGACGTGAGATCTCACAATCCACCCCATTGGGGGCCCAACATCCTCACTAGCACACCGCCCGGTGCCTAGCTCTGATACCATTTATAACAGTCAAAGCTCAGCGCTAGCAGATATTATCCTCTTTGGGTTTTTCCTTCCGAGCTTTCCCTCAAGGTTCTAAAACGCAAGAGAGAGGTTTCCACACTTTCATGAAAAATGCTTCCTTCCCCCTCCCTCCAACCATGTGGGATCTCCCATTAAATCTTTAGAAGATGGTATTTAAAGCACAGTTTCAAAGTAGCTCAAATATTTATCTATCTGTTCGTGATGAACAATGCATTACAACTTAATTAACAATATTTTGATTTTAATATGAAGAGGAACAATTATTCGTCCATATAACTTTACAAAATACAAGATGTGAAGAAGCAAAAAGATAGATTGACAACAAAGTAGCAAAAAGAATGAACCTCCTTAGTACTGCAAATCTGACTAGATATGATGTTAGCTATCATCTTAACAACAGAACTGCTAAAGAAAATCTATAGATTACACTGATTAGCCATCGAATTTTGGTTCTGTAAAAGATGAACAGGTCTCATGAGGTGCCTTAACTGTCCACCTCCCATTGATGCATTCTCTACTTAAGAAGTAAATAGGATCTTGTGGCATGTAAAAGTTACAGACAACAATTAACATAAATAAGAACAGCAGTAACCATAGTAGCATGACTGCATAGCTATTTATTTGATGAATACTTTCGGATTCAAAATCAATTATACAGAGTAAAGCAATATATCGAAATTTGAGAGAAGATAATGAGGCATACAACGGCCATTAAACCATTAATTGCAATAAAATAAACCTTTTGAAATAGAGCAGCTAAGATAAATGGCATACCTCAAAACCAAGTACAGACAACTTTTCATCATTAACTGATGGAATACAGCTTCTGTAAATGATGTAATCCTGGGAACCAACTGTTCCAGAGATAGAACCATCCCGTTGATGTCTGTGTGCAACTGATGAAGCATGATCGCTTGCATCACTCTGCAAATGGTTCACAAGCTTGTGCTCATAAGACATTTCAAGTGTTGAGCGACCATCATGAGAAATTTTCTCATTGGAAACTTTTGATGTGTCTTTGACTTCCACACATTTCAGGGAAATACGATACCCAGTCTCACTGCAGCCATAATTTTCATCCTTCTATGTGACCAAAAAGAAGGAAGATAATGAAAAATTACTTCTACATTAAATTTTATACCAAAAAGCAAAGCAAAAGCTACCATTAAACATGAAACATTGGATTTAAAGATGGAAATATACAACGGACTACCATTCCCAATCCTAACACATTGAGAACTGAAAGCCTAGCACTATCCAAATATTAACTATAGAGTCAACATTGTCTGTCCCTATAATCATGGTATATGTAATAGCCTAACCCAACCGCTAGCAAATATTGTCCTCTTTGAGCTTTCCTTCCAACTTTTTTAAAACGCATCTACTATGGAGAAGTTTCCACACAAGGAATGTTTCATTTCCCTCTCCAACCGATGTGGGATCTCACAATCTAACCCCATTGCGTGGCCAGCATCCTCACTGACACAACGTCTAGTGTCTAGCTTTGATACCATGTGTAACATCTCAAGTCCATTGCTAATAAATATTGTCCTCTTTTGGGCTTTCCCTCAAGGTTTTAAAACACGTCTACTGCAGAGAGGTTTCCACACCCTCATCCAAAATGTTTTGATTCCCTCTCCAACCAACGTGGGATCTTACCGTATCCAAGTTCAAATCCCTGCTCGCCCACGACCGATCAGAAAGAGAAGGATTTTCCTAAAAGGATATGGGAAAATAGGTTAAGAGGATCCAAAGTGAGGGAACTTTGGTATCGATCTTTTATCTTTTTATTATTATTATTTTTTTTCTGTTTTGTGAACTGGGTAAGTGCATTTGTTACAAATTAAACAATGTATACCCAGCGTGAACAAATTTTCAAAGAAAGCACAACATAAAATTTTGGCTAAAGAGAACGAGAACACAAGGGGCCTATCATTATCAAACTCTAATGCATTGAAATCTGGAAGTTTATTACTGCATGTTGAAAAAACTGACATGCATTTCCAATATCTCGTTGCTACTCGCTATAACAAAAATGATATTGAAAAGCTTCACTGTTTCATCACAACTAATAATCTAGAACTCCAACAAGCTAGATCATAATTTCTAGATGATTCAACCCAAAAAAACAACGCATGCCAACTGAACAGGAATGAATAAGAGCACCAGTATTTAGTTTATCTCGATTTAAAGACCTAACGAACAGATACCTTTTCGGAGAGGAGGCACGCAACACAGGGCCCGGAACGAGAGCAATCAAAGGTAACGTTACTTCCATGAGGAGACTCTTTGAAACTCAACAGAGCTCTGCGCCCAAACCCTATCTCAGTTTCTTCGTTTCTCCCAATTCTGTCTCTGACATTAAGAACGAACGCAACAATTCGCCATGGAATTCCAATAGATCAGATAAGATCAGATCAATAAATAACACAAAGATCAATAAGAACACAAAGTAGAAAATTAGAGCTTACAAATTCTGCCATTGGGCGTCAAGTGAAGCAGAGAAACAGAAGAGAAGGAGAAGAAAATGATGCAACGAAAAATTCCAACACATTATTCACCTCTGAGAGAACCTCTCTTACCAAAATCTGCAAATTAGATATCGAATTAAATGTGTATGCATACTCGATATTTTATGAAGTTTCTATGTTACAAAATTAGCACAAATGTGAAGGTGGCGGAAAGTTGTTATCCGATCAAGCCAAACCGCCCCTAAATTTCTAATCCAACGGCTGAGATTTAAACTTAACGCGTGCTAGAGGCTGTGGGGCCGTCAAAATCCCGGCAAATTATCCTCAGTCCTCGGACCTTTTATTGAAGTAATTATCCTTTTACTCGGTTTCGATGGAAGCGGGAATTCTCTTCCCCGCCACTCTCATTCCATGGAGTCCCAATTTCAACATCGTAAGGGCTTCTTCTTCTTCTTCCTCCCTTTTGCGCACTTACGTCGGTGGAGTTTCTCTCTTAGTCGTCCTCTATAATAATCGCGCCGTTTCTGGATTGCTCCGTCGCCGATGCCAGCAGGTTCATCGGTAAATTTTAAAATAATGTATGGAATGTTGTTTATTTCCTCAAGTCAACATGTATTGCTTATTCTGGAATGTTGTAAATACATCACTACAATGAGTAGTAAATTAAGAGAAGAAATCATCCATTTGCGGAGGCGAGGATGGAAACTCTTTCTTCGATAACATCGTCGATAACTATGTTTTCATATTTTGGCAGTGTGATTTTGCGACTAACAATAAAACCATCGTCAATTTCGGCAATCTGTAGTCAAGAGCTATCAGATTTTCATACTCAACCTCCCCCACTTTTGTTGACCGTGATTAGATGTTGTATTGATAACAATAAAACTAGTAACATCTGAATTGTTGTGGTAATACACTGTATGTAACTTTCGCGATGATGTTTTAAAACTATGAATGCGATGTATCTGATAAATTACTTTTGGTATTCAATTCTAAAGACAATTCTTAGAGGAGGAAGGAAAATTCTGGACTAAGTGGTTAATGGTTACTTTTTGCTGCTTACTCTTAGGGTATGGAAGTATCTGTTAGAGGTGGCATGCTGCAGGTTTTTGATTGTTGGTTATGATGAGATGTGTATGTTTCAAGTTGGTTTTGCTGCGGGTGATGGTGAGGACGAACATGTGGAACCTAGTAAATTGATGCAGGGATTGCTCTATCAAGGAATTCTCAAATCTCAAGCTCGTGAGTAGTAAATGATCTGTGTACAGAGATCAGCACACAATGTACTACTTGATTGTTGTGCAATTGTAAACACCTTCAACTATTCGTTTTAAGAGACTATCTTTCCTATTATTGCAGAGAGCTATTTGGCTAATCTCTCTTTTATACAGGGAAGTCGGAGCTGCCATTTCTTACTTCAAATACTCAGGTACATTGCTTAATACTATTCAGGTTGTTGTTAGATTTGTTCCTTTTTCCTTTTTCTTTTATTTTTTTGGTATATATATAAGGCAGATAGTTTTCTACAGTGGCTTCATTCTTGGGTATTTGTCACTCTATATGTGGTAAACCTATAAACTACCGAACTTGTTTTTGTCTCTCAATGTTTAACTTATTGTGGTTGGTGTGCAAATGAACCTCGAGTTTGAAGCATCATTTGGTGCACTTGATGAATAATTTGGTTGTTTGCATGTGTAGTTAGTCCTCACATTCACTTTCAGAAACTTGGGAGTCTTCTCCATCTCTGCTGGCTTAAAAGAGTCTCTCCTTGTATATAGTATCTACTTGTTCTCTGAAGCCAGACTCTGCTATTCTACTTATCTGTTTGCTTAAAGCCCCGTTCGAATGAATTAGAACTGTAGTTCAACCTTTTGGTTTTCTTAAAGCCCCCTCTTTTGAATGAATAGAACTGTAGTTCTACCTTTCTGTAGTTGCTCGATTGCACATATTGTCTGTCAACTGATGGTGACGACCTTTTCCTCTTTCTTTCTATGGCATAATTATTATTCCCAGCTTCAAATTTGAAATGTTCACTGTCATGGATTTCAATCGTTGAGAGAAGCTGGATGCTACTCTGTTGAAGTATTTGAATAATTTTGAACCGCGGTAAAATTGAGCTCAAAGTGAACGGAACTGTTGATGGACAAACATAACTTGGTTATTTGATTGTTCATTTTATTTATTTCCAATATTTCCATGGGCGAAAAGAGATAATATTGAAGCCCCTGTAAAAGCCAGACGAAGCAACTCAACTAAGTAGTTGATTTCTATGTATGTTCCATATATACAAAAGCTTCTCCTTTTCTTTCAACCATCAACTCTAGATGTATTCACTGATTGAAGGTAATGTCTGGTTCGCTTACTTTTATCCATTTTCTGTCTGTGGTAATGCTGAGTGCATTCTTACATGTGTGTACAACCGACATAGCAGACAGCAGATGATTTATTCAAATTTGAAGTATGAATCAGAAAGAATTTCATTCCAGCAACTGAAAGTGTAAGTTAAAAACATGTGACTAAATCATAGCATGTCGATGGAGTAAAAAAATAATCAGACAAACATTCTATTTGTAGAAAAAAAAATCTGTTGCTTGCTGTATGATTACTGTGTACAGGTAACTAAGCTGCAGGTTGCCAAGAGTTGTTAACCAGAAGCTTTTTCCCATGGTAGGAACCCTGTCAAAGGATCTGACAACGAACTCTGTATAAAATCTCTCAGTCCAGTGTCCCAAACTTCACAGAACTGTAGCCTCCAATTGGGTGGTTCGATTGCCTCTGTCCCAAGCCCAGGTGCTCTATCCTTCGACCCTTCATTCTGTGCCTCTTGCCAATCTACAACATAGGTAGCTACTCTTCTGTAAAATTTAGCTCGAAAAGTTTCCCACACTTGGTATTTGTAATGGTTTATGACAGCATTGCTTTTAGGTACATCAAAAAACCCAAATCCTTGTTTCAACTGAAAGTGATGAACAACATTGAGAAGTGTTATATCAAGCAAGTCTGGCCGGACAAACGATTTGTGTCTCTCAGGGTTCTGGAGCCGACAAGTGTACCCCATTGTAACTCCCTGCGGTGGATGTGATGTTAAACCCGATGGTCCAAAACTATGACATGCCGTTCTAATCTCTGCAATGGCGGTTGAATTGGAAGTTGAAGCAGATGAGTCGGCAATGAGAGAACGAAGGGCATTGCGGCCGGCAATATGGTATTCTTGCAGATGGCGATACTTTGAAGGGAAGTAGAAAAACTCGTCAACATCAAAGAAGCCAACCCACTTACATTCATCTCTAGCTCTCAAAGCACAGTGTGAGAAACCTGCTTCTTGGGTTTTAAGCCATGGCCAGGTCAGCCTACTGATATTGTAGTCTTCCAGGTTGAGCTCTCTAATGACTTCTTCAATGCCATCATCACTATTGTTGTCGTAGATGAACCAGCGGCCCACTCCAAGCCAGGCATGGTACATAATCCACTCACGAAGTGCTGCCGCTTGGTTCCACACCATTGTGCACACACAAAGCTCATGTTTTTCCTGATTTCTTTGCAGGTCATTCAGCTTGGAGTTGAAGAGTCTGACCACTGAGGGGAGAGTCACTTGAAGATGGGCTTTAGTATTGACACTGCCACGACTCACTGTAACTTGAATTCCCTTTTCCTTGTCCAAAGTGCTCAGCGCACCAGCCGGCAAGGAGCACCTGATAATTTCTTGAGCTGCAGTAACTGCTTTTGTGGTAAGCACATATTCTCCGTTATTGTTTGAATTTCCCAGTCTAAAGTGGCAGCTGAATTCAGTCGGATTTGATTCCTTGTGTGGTCGGAGATTTAGTCCCTTGGCAAACACCACAACCGTATCACCGTCAATAGCTGCCTCATAAACCACCCTCTCCCAGGAGGCAACTGGCTGCCTATTTCTTATCAACCAATGGTTATCAGCTCCCACGCCGCGCTTCCTCAAGTCCACGGCTGAGGCCGAATAATTCAGTGGTGGTAGTGGACATCTGGCAATCGATCGGAATTCATCGTACTTGTCCGTGGACAGAACTGACTGTTTGAGAGTCTCTTGGTTCAAACCTCTAGCGACTGATTTGAAGTATAAACAGTCCAATTTCTCATCTCGGTTGAATTTTCCGGCGACCATCAAAAGCAAATGGTCAGGAAACAAGACTCGGCTTTCAACTCTCAAAGGCGAATACTTACTGCTCAAAGAACTGTCAAGGGTAGACTTGCTAGCGGAAGTAGACAAACGGGAGAGAGTCGTGGAAGAGGCATCGAGAACTGGCCGGAACGACGCCGCCGCAATCGAAAACCACCTAGTCGAAGAGAGGAACAAGAGAAAAGCAAAGAAGAAGAGGCAAAGAAACAGAGATCTCCGAGTAAAGAACTGAACTTGCGAGCTCGACCTGCCAAACCGCTTCCTCTTCCGCCGCTGTTGTTCCCAATCCATTAACCCAAAATTCACACAGAACCCAAATCAGAAGAAACCTCTACCGCAGCACAGATCCAGTCAGATGAAAGCAGGAGAGAGTTCGTCGAGTTGGGGTTTCCCAGTAACCTCGTCAGTCTGCCGGAGACGACAAGAAAGAAATTCTCAAGCCTAAACCTGTAATTAATGTGGAAGCAGAGTTTATTAGTTAAAATCAGAAAAGATTCGGCTGTGATGATAATGACGAAGCTGCTGATTGATTGCTTTCCGCTAATAAGTGGAGTTTTATTAGCAAAGAGGAAGCGTGAACTTAACTCCTCTTGGGCTCTTGTCCTGCTCCTGCTCTGCCAGGCCAGACTACACCATCGACATCTTTTGAAGCTTGAAAAATACTTGTTCTCGCTATTTTAATTGGCCCATACCGTATCAAATACTCACCTTTATCCCTTTTTTCCTCTCTTCCAAACTCCAAAGCCGTGTTTTTTGTTCAGAAGAGTAAATGATTAGCTGGAACAATAGACTTTTGCAGCAGTTCATTTCTTTATTAGGCTTAACTCCTAATTAAATCCTTCAACTAAATTCTCATACTTTACATAGACAAATGCTTGAGGCTTTTATTTTGTAGACCCATTCCTAGGAACCTTCGACAGACATAAACAAACAGATGCTCTGCTTGCTTCGATCTTCTCAAACGTTAAACCGGATGAATATAAAAATGACTGTTGTTGGAATCTTAATTCAATTTTATTATTGATTGAAAAACCTCCGCCAAATTTTCGCCATTAAAAGGGTCGGGAAATGCACGTGGAAGGACGCCAGATGATGGCTGGCACTCGCTGACTCACCGCTTTCATTTGTTTCTCAATCATTTGTGAATTCTATTCCAACACTTCATATTCACATGCCCTCCATTTACTATGAAACTAAATAACTCCCGAATTTCCTTCAATTATTGTTGTTGTTTTTGTTTTGTTTTTTTTTTTTTTTTTTATATAATATGCCCATGTGTCCTTTTAGGAATTTTGTAATTAAGTTAAATAATACCCTTTAATTCTCGCATGCCCGAGAAATTGTTGTTTAATTCCGTTCAATTTTGAATTTTATTTTCGAAATACTACTTAGCGAGNTTTTTTTTTTTTTTTTTTTTTTTTTTTTTTTTTTTTTTTTTTTTTTTTTTTTTTTATATAATATGCCCATGTGTCCTTTTAGGAATTTTGTAATTAAGTTAAATAATACCCTTTAATTCTCGCATGCCCGAGAAATTGTTGTTTAATTCCGTTCAATTTTGAATTTTATTTTCGAAATACTACTTAGCGAGATGTATTGTTTTAATGAATTTCGATTGAATATTCGTCAATTCATTGATAATAAAATAGACTATGATTGAAATATATGTGATTAAAATGTTAGGTAGAACAAGTTTCAAATTCTATCCAATTGTCTACTAAACGTCACACCAACTCAACTAAAGTTTTATCTATAAACATGTTTCGTTTTAATCAATAGATTAGTGAATTAATTAGGCTGTCCCAATTGCTAATTAAACCAAAGTCATCACTAAAAAGAGCCTAAATAATTTAGCTTTCATTATAAATACACATTGAATCCTTCACTTTCTTTGTCTCCATAATTATAATCTTAACTTTACAATTTCATAGCCCTTTTGAACAAATTGCATCAAAATGTAAACTTCAATCTGGCAACCAAAAGAGGAAAATAAAATCAAATCAGGAAAATTTTCCCAAATCTGTATGGAACAAATCAAATGAATAAAAGGAGAGAGAGAGGATGAGAGAAGATTTTCCTGGAAAGTGAATAGAAATTTTCCGGGAAAGTTTCAAAATGATTTCAATGTAAAAGCTTACTATTTATTATTTGAATAGTTAAATGGATATTAATTATCATAGGCTTAATTAGGGTAATCAACTTGTGGTCTTTATTAACATAATTAAATTGGATTTTTTATTATTATTTATAAAAAATGATATTATGGGCAAATGTGGACAAATTAAACAGCTCAGATTTTTGTATTAATACCCCTTTACTTTATATTCTGTATTCATACCCTTTATATTCCACGTTGGAATTTTCAAACAAACAAAAGCTCATCATTATACCACGTGGCATTGGTTTTATTGGCTTACACTTTTCAGGGATAAGATTGGTCAAATAAAATACGCGTTAAAGAGACTAAGATGTCCCTATTCAAATATAAACAATTAGTTTAGGGAAATATTTTAATTAATGACATTTTGATTTAAACTAAGAGGTTTAGGGGATGAGAAATTATATACCCAAAGGAACGCTTAACTTACACGTGTAGGGGCAAAATGGGAAAATGGAAAAAAAAAAAAGCTATGGTATCCTCCAATCACGTCTGACACGATCAATTTGATTTACTTAACCCGAGCCATAAAGATTATGCTGTATTGTATTTTTTAGTTTTTTGAATTGAGTTAAATTAGATTTTTGGAAAATCGAAAATTTAAATCAGTTTGAGCTTTGATATTTTTTTGTTAGTGTTACAATCCAACCCAACTTTACCATACTTTAAAAAAAATGTTAAAAATATTTAATGTTTATAATCTATGTTAATCACTCGTTGTGTCGGGTTGATATTTGAGCTTCATGGAATATTAACCTAACCTACATTATAAATAAGTATTAAAAAAAAAAAAAAAAAAAAAAAAA